TAGTGTTGTCACTGAGGTGCAATTAAAAAATTGAAAAATAATATATCACGTTTCAAATATTACTATATATACCATTGGTTTCTATGAGAACTAAAATGTGAAAATTATTTTTCTCTGAACTACAATATTAGCCAAAGTGGTTTAAACTTCATATGAGGCCTTTAAAAATTGTGGTTTTTGCTGAATGAAAATGTTTCATTGTAGCTTACATAGGCATGTACTTCAATGGTCCATGGTCTGTCTCTGAGCGGGGAATGTAGTTTCAATTCTTTCTCTATTCGACCTGAAAAATCGTTAAAACCATTTTTAGGTTTATTTTCAAGAAAAACAATGTACAATACAATTGTAAAATTTGTAATCATAACGTAACGGAATGAAAAAAGAGTCACGAATTCCTGATTGTTATTGGAGTCTCTCTTAAGGATTGATACATTTACTGAGACATAAGCGAATTTGCATTTACAAGCCGAGACAATAAAATATCATGCCCTGTTGATGATGATGTTGATGTTTGGTGATCGAATTATTTCTATTTTATGATTACTACTTGCGTATATGGGTTTCTAAGTGATTGTTGACAATCGTTTAATTGCTTACATATATTGTTTTTTCAATTATTTAAAAAAAAGGTTCAGTATAAACGTGACAATTGATATAGGAAATATGTATTTCTTGTGTTTACTGCCAAACGTCTTGAGAACTTGTTTTTAGAATGTGGTGAAATCCTGTACAGAACAAATAAGCGATTATGCCAAAGGCCGATACCGCAGGTGAAAACGTGATTCAAAAAGCTTTGATTTAATTGGTCGAGTGACTCGACTCTAAATGTAAAACTACGCTGGATTACCAATATTGTTAGCACTTCGATTACTGATATTTGAATCCTGGAATGATTGAGTAAATTTATTACGTGTAATTGGTTAATTTGTGATACTTCTGAAAGTATACTTAATGTGTAGATCATGGTTTCCAATACAACAATAAACCAATACTTGTGACATTGTAGGTTTTACAGGTCTTTATATTGACTGTCAAATTGGTTTAAAAGTCACTCGTATAAAGCTCAACGAATTAGAACCAACAAGCAAGCCCAAATTCGTACACATGGTGGAAGATACTAAAGTTTAGAGCAGATCAACTTTTAAGCGGCCATCTTTTTTTCTAGCGGCCACTTTGGAAGTTTTTCCGATAAACCTTGTCATCGCTAGATGTATTTCAAGAAAAAACTATCGAATACAACGTGTATGCCCGTACTTTGTAGCTACCGAGGGGTTTAAAAATGCTTCAGAATTTATAAAATAAATTAGATAAATTTCAACCATTTACTGCAATTTTAGTACTTCGTAACCCCACGCAATGTTATCAAATTGCTGCACTACTTTATAACACTATATGACGATATTCTAAATAGTATATCGACTCCGAAGTGTATCATCCGGACTGAACACTCGATGTATTGCTTTCTCGCCCTAAGTTAACTCTCATCTGACTTACTGGAATGTAAAAATCACAATCATCAAGCTCCGAACAAAATGTTGCTTTATGGGCCATATATTTGACCTTTTTGACCTATGTTTGCATGGACACAATGAATACATCTATTTATTTTGTAAGAAAGCATTATTCACATTTTAATTCACTTTTATATAAACAAAACTTTTTGATAAAATCCCATTGGAGAATAAACATACATTTAGATAATATCAGGCAAAAACCTAGCATATTTCACAGTGCAAGTTTCTTTTTCCAATCCAATCCTATAAGTAGGGTGCTAGCATTTTCTCGCTCCCGAACATATTTCTCCACTCGCGAATATAGATTTGTGCTCGCGAACAATTTGTACCTAGTGCATCCGGGTATTCTAATTGCAAGCAACAACAGGAGTCTGGTTGCAGTTTACATTGACCCTTATACATGTACATGTGTATTTCAATAGAGTCATAAACTCTCCGCAGCTAATGAAAAGCCGTTTTTATTACCCAGCCCATTCACTGAAAATGTCAATGCGTGGAATCGCAAAGTAGTCCCAATGTTTTGTGTTTCTTGGAGCTTGAAGATGCTGTTATCTTCATAAATGGATATTCATTAACATGCACGAAAAACTGGGAAATTATTTCTTCCGAATTACAAATAAAAACACTTCGTTGGAATTTAAGTTATGCGTAAGCTTAATAAAACGAATAAAGAGAATAAGACGTACCTGTACCTTAAGCTAGTTTCACACAAACAGCGATTTGATGGCGCTTTAAAGCAGCTTATAAAGCGGCACCAAAGCGTAACAAAGCGTAGAAAAGCTCGGAGTAAAGCGGAATATTCGGCAAGAGCGCTCTATACGTCTATAAGTGTGATATTCTCATAAATTGTCATCTATACGTAAGAATATCACAGTTGTGGACATATAGAGCTACGCAATAAATGATGACGTAATCAAACGCGTCATAAGTAATACGTTATACGAGGATAATAAACATGCTATTAGTGAGTTACGAATTCTTTCAATTATTCCGAACGTACCATTCACAACAGCCTGTCCAAGCCAGCGTTTCACTATCACCCCGACATCCTGCTTAATGAATATATCCATGGAAACCGCAACGGGCATCAGATTTGGCTTCACCGGGATGACGCGGAATCGAACTAAAAACAAAGTTGATAATTATTAAGCTGGTATAAACGTATCCAAACAATACAATCTAGTAGAAACCTTTCTTATAATATATATGATATAAACCTGAAAATGAAACTTAAAGGTTAATAGATATGTTTTAGCGCAGCCAATTTCTGTAAATAATATTCTTGGATTGTGGGTACCTTCTAGTGACCTAGGAGGCAGATGTCTTTCATATTAAGTGCATTATCTCCAAGAAAAACAATTCTCATAAGTTACTTGCACCAATTGCACTATCCTAAGTGCTCATTTTGTTGTCTAAAGATAACAAGATATGACGCTTTGTTTTGCTGAAGTCGCAATTTCGATAATGTTGACCACAATCATGCTATGTATCTAAATGTAGCTGAACCGTGAGAACAGATGAATGATCTAAGGCGTTTGACAATCTAGTTTGTCTTAGTTTTGGTAATCATTTACATACTTACTAGGTATTAATTTATTCATTTATCTGTTTCTATGCGAGGATCCAACCGAATAAACATACAAACAAACAAGTAAATAAATAATATCAAGACACTCAATTTGAACATTACGTGGCATAAATGACTAGGAATTAGTTCAGTAGTTTTGTCTCCTTTTCCCAAAAACTGCACCCATCTTGATATCATATTTTGGGATTAATACTGAAAAGGTATGATTAATAATTTTGCCACTGCTAAACAAGTAAACAAGTTTAGAAAGTCAATTGCATTCATTTGCGTTAGATATTGTTCTGATGACAATAAATCATCTTATTATCTTTGCGAAATCTTCTAAAACATGAAGGAAATCATAATCGCTCATTTTCATATCACGTTTTGACAATAAACAATAATTATCAAAAGCAGCACGAGTGTTATTTTCTCTCGATTAAAGAAACACATCCCAAATTTACAAATAGTGGTTGTCCAAATCTGTTTATTCTCCATAAAACATGTGAATAGATTCTTGCTCGTTATTTTCATTGGTAATCAGGTCTATTTTATGAAATTGTTATCATTAAAAATTCAGTTTTACTTTATTTCAATATCGCAGTGCAACTTGAAGACAATTAAAATTAATTTATATTTAAATTTGGAGAACAAAAAGTATCTACGAAACGATCAATTTTAGATTCTTTTGACCGCAAAATCTTGGCTTTCTGAATCGGGAAAATACGTTTTGTCACAAAAACGTGACTATGGGTCAAATATCTTGTGATCGACAGATATATTGTAAACAATGGAAGGTTTTCGGTGATATGACAGACAATTCAAAAGTTTTCAAAAATTGTTCAATAGCTTTAACTATTTGCACTAGAATTGTATCGTAGAAGTACTTGAAAACATGATTTTTAATACAGATTGTAAACATGGTAAAAACATTGCATAAAGACAAAAATGGGGGTAAAATATACAATTTGCTTCTGGGGAGATAATTGGGAATTAGACAGGGCTTTCATTATTTACACTGTGTGTTAAATGTTTCTCAAACTTATCGTATTTAGATATAATATTTATATTTAATTTTGTTCCTAAGTTACAACTTGCTAAAATTGCAAACGTGAACAAGCGTGACCCAAAGGACGACCTCCGGTTACGAAACCTTTGATAAGGGGATGTTGAAGTTAAATTTGAATTAGATGTAGCTTATGAATACAAGGAAAGCCAGCATTTATAAAAAGTACAGTTACTATTTTTATTTTAAAATTATAATTCTTAATCTGTAAAAAACTTACGAGTTCCCTTTCTGTTGTACATTATCTTATCCGTCTCTATAAAAACAGATATCTGTTTGGTGTTGAACAACAAAGCGGTTTCATTCCAAAATATTGAGCCACCTGAACCAGCATCATATTTCCCTTCGACCCTCAGAGAATAGTTTCCAGCGAGCACATACTTTGGAATCTGAAAATAGTTTCATTCCAAAAATATTGAGCCACCTGAACCAGCATCATATTTCCCTTCGACCCTCAGAGAATAGTTTCCAGCGAGCACATACTTTGGAATCTGAAAATAGTTTCATTCCAAAAATATTAAGCCACCTGAACCAGCATCATATTTTCCTTCGACCCTCAGAGCATAGTTTCCAGCGAGTACATACTTTGGAATCTGAAAATAGTTTCATTCCAAAATAGTGAGCCACCTGAACCAGCATCATATTTCCCTTCGACCCTCAGAGAATAGTTTCCAGCGACCACATACTTTGGAATCGGAAAATAGTTTCATTCCAAAATATTGAGCCTCCTGAACCAGCATCATATTTCCCTTCGACCCCCAGAGAATAGTTTCCAGCGAGCACATACTTTGGAATCTGAAAATAGTTTCATTCCAAAATAGTGAGCCTCCTAAACCATCATCATATTTCCCTTCGACCCTCAGATAATAGTTTCCAGCTAGTTGTATACTTTGGAATCTGAAAATAGTTTCATTCGAAAATAGTGAGCCTCCTAAACCATCATCATATTTCCCTTCGACCCTCAGAGAATAGTTTCCAGCGAGCACATACTTTGGAATCTGAAAATAGTTTCATTCCAAAATATTGAGCCTCCTAAACCATCATCATATTTCCCTTCGACCCCCAGAGAATAGTTTCCAGCTAGTTGTATACTTTGGAATCTGAAAATAGTCTCATTCCAAAATATTGAGCCTCCTAAACCATCATCATATTTCCCTCCGACCCCCAGAGAATAGTTTCCAGCTAGTTGTATACTTTGGAATCTGAAAATAGTCTCATTCCAAAATATTGAGCCTCCTAAACCATCATCATATTTCCCTTCGACCCTCAGAGCATAGTTTCCAGCTCGTAAATACTTTGGAATCTGAAAACCGTTCCATCCGTCCATAGATAACTTGCAATTGGCTTATATTAAATGCTTTATTGTACTAAAAATCCCTTTCGGGTAAGTGCACATCAAATAAACATGATAAAATAAAACTAAAACTATACATACAATTATAATAACATACAATGCAAATTTTACATGGCATATAATGACAATAAAATGCGATTGACTGATCATTAGATATATAAGGGTTATGTACTGCGGTCCCTCGTGAGATACACATATTTCCCGCGGGATAAACACTGTATCCAAAACCGACCGTACATAACTGGTGTATATCATACTTGAGTGGGTTTGGGGTAGATATAACCTTTACCACCTTTTTCAAATGACAAGATAGACCTCTACTGTAAAAGCACAATTTATATTTAACATTTTCATAATATTCCTTCAGCTCAATACAATAGAATTGTAACATTTAAACTTTTTGAAAAATTTTAAACTTCTGAAATTTAAATTTTTAAAATTTTTAAACTTTTTTAAACTTTTGAAAGAATTCCCGGGAGCGGGATGGATATATTATATCTGCCCGCATTTGGCCTAGAGCGGGACATATACAATATATCCTGCCCGCTCCTCAGATATTATATATATTCCCGGGTGATATCTACCCCAAACCCACTCAAGTATGAAATACACAACTGTATATTGGCTTAAGATTTAAAACAGTAATCGGCTTTCTTTAACTTTTATAAATAAAAATCGAATTTTTAAGATTTATGGCATTATTTAAGCCTGAAGATAGTATTTAGTCAAAATTGATATAACGTATAATATGATATATTAGTATAGACAAGTAAATCAATTGTTTTAGTTATTTTAACATCGCACAGCATGTTAGAATAATGACAAGTATGTCACAGGTGACGCTGTAAGTAAAATATTTTAAACCTTTGATTACAAAATGATAATGAAAGGTTGGTTTCACGCTGCGTAACATGACTGTTTATGAATGGTCTATGTTTGTTTTTCAGTACACAATTTAAACAAAGAAAGAAAAACAAAAAACTAAATAAATCTTAAAAATAAAAAAGATGTAACATTACCAGATGTTTCATAATTATGGCGGGGTGAACTTTGAAGTGAAATAACCAAGATAAATATTTCGTGAATAACAAAAAATGAAGTCTGGGATGAAGATATCTCTTTTCATCCTCGAAAATATTCAACTGTAAACATTTTAGGACACACTTTTTAAATACACCTATCCAATGGGGCTAATCCGAACTATTTTCAGGTATATTACTAGGATGCATGTTACTGTCACTGTATGTAGATTGAGTGAGAAATTGTGTAAACATATTAAGAGAGGATTCCATGTTAATGTACTTTACATGGTTTTCTTGGTGTTTCCGATTTAATTGAAGTAATGTTTTCTTTCTATGACCTTAGGAAAAAAGGGCTTTTAGAAGTCCATGACAAACATCCAAAACATGTCACATAGTCCTGAAGGATTCTCCGAAAGGACAAAAATTGACCTAAATAAATATGACTAAGTTCGTTTAATGAATATTGCAAAAATTAATATTTCAAGGAAGCAATTGAATTTAACGTTGTACAGTATATTTTTTAATTACCTGCAATTCTAACGTGCGTTCTCCCTCATTTTCCAGGTCCAAAGTCGCGCTTGAAATTTCCTCGCCCCTGTCGACATTGCGAATTGACGTAACGATGTGTAGAGGAACGTTATGTCTCTTCAGAAGAACAACGCTTATTCTGTAGATCATATTGGCCCGGAATCGCCTCGGAGCAAGAATCATGTAGGTTCTGTCAAATATTTATTTTACCAGGTTTTAAAAGTGAAAGTAAACAAATAAATAAAACAAACAAATATACATAGCATAAAATTAAACATGGACAAAAACATCACACAAATATTTAAAAAGTAATAGTTTTTAGTTCGCATGCGCATTGACTTAGGCTAGATACGCCTTATGCGCAGTGACAATTTATTTTCCCGATATTTTAAGGTATTTATACAACAGAAATTAGGCTGACGTGTATAATTTCATTCTAGAATTTACTTATTTTCACAGACTGAAGAGTTTTTCTGGCTTTAGAAGTTTCAGAATTTAAATTTCAAATTTGAAATTTAGTGACCATGGAGACAGACTGTCTCCGAAACATCTAAAGAAAGAAAAAACTTTTCAGTTTATGATTACAAGAAAGATTACATTCTAAAATAAAACAACGATTTCAAGATTTTGAATTTATTTAACGAAATAAAGTATCAAATTGTATACTTACCCATAATTGTCATTCGTATATTTGTATGCAAGTGTATTTTGATTTGCAACATCTCCCGTTACCAAAGTGACCAAACATAGAGTTAATAAGTTAATAAAGTAAGTAATTGATAAACACATGTTTCTTGATCTATTTGATAGTTCTCTTGAATTTGAGCCCTCTGCCAATTCAAGTTGCAATAAATATGTCCAACTAACAAAAGTTGATTTCAATCAATACAATTAAACGCTTACAAACATAAATTAGAAATAATTAGATTAAAAATCCATTTTTAGCTCTCGACACAGTAGTATCCAATCGTTCGCGCCCCTTCTTAAATGGCTTAACAAAAGTCAAAAAGGTATGTCGGCAAATATACCCTCATGATCAGTTCGTAAACAAACTTCACAAACGTGTTTGCGCAAATCAGAATGACAGTCATAATTTGAAGAACAAGTGTATTTAAGACTCAAATATCCCCCCCCCCCTTCGTATAATGCAAAATATGAATGGGAATAATTTGGCAATTGAATTTAGTCGCAAAGTCACTCTTTACTTAAATGTGAGTCCCGGAAAGTTTGCGATACATTTATTAAAAGACAAGCGTGTCAGTTAGAAAACAACATTGTTGAATAAGTATTAATAATATTTTACTCGTCTATTAGAATCTGGTCCATGTGACTTGATGCTTCATTGTTAAAATGTCATTTTACATAACATAAAAACAGGATAACCCGTCATATTTCGAAACAAATATTTCATGGCGCAAAACTTGTGTTTTCTACTATGGAAGTCAGTTCAGGTTATGCCACCATATTGCTAAATTAAAAGTGGTGCCATGACGTGACTAGTTGACAATACTCAAAAATTGTCCAAACAAGGCCAGTTTTTATAAACAACGTACTAATTCTCTCTTACGATGTTTTCCAGATTTTCAGGATAAAATGTTTTTAGAGATCATTCGATTTAAACCCAGTGTAAAAGGGTAAGAGGTCCTACTTATGGTCCTACTTTCCATTGATTTATATGGTGACCTAAATGCAACTCTTTCCCTTATTATCGTATCCACAATCAGGGCCAGTACGGGCCTTTAAGAAAGGGGACCATAATCCCTAGGGGACCATAATTTCTTTCACACCAGGCCCAAGGACTACGATTTTAAATGTCTCGGGGTAAATTGAGTTGTTTATGTGTAGTATAGTTTAGGATAATACATGATTTGCTACATGTTTATATCCACGTGCGCATGATATGAGACTATTAAAGCTGGCAACAATGGGTGAATAATACGGAAGCAACACAAGAAACGTGATTTTAAAATAATTCATTACTGCATTATTCCCATCGGCCTCCAAACTTGTCATCTTCTGAAACTAGCCAAGCTTGAAAGAAATCTTGTCCCCTTCAATACAACTTGATTGATGAATAATGTCATTGACATGAGCTCGAAATCTTCGCCCTTGGCCTTTTTAGATTTTTAAATGACCATGAAGTGGATTACAAGGTCAATACTTTTTTAAATGTTGTGAGAACAAACCATGCTAGGCGCTGTTGCAATCACAAGGTCGTGAGTTCAAAGATCTGTGAGCTCCTTGTGATTATTCATTTGTCTCTTAAGTGTATATGATAAGAGTACAACACATTTGTTATAGTCATCATAATAAAAAACACTAGTATGTACTAGATGTATGATATTGACATATACATACAATGAAGACAGATAATGTACAGACACAGCTAGTAGACTGAGATACTGCCAATAGAATATTTTGAACAAACATTTGATTTATATTTTTGTCGGATTCATAAACCATATGTTTTTCATTTGTGACCTTTATTACAGTAATTTGAATAGGATGACATGATCTGAAAAGGATTAGATAAGAGAAAGGATTTTTTGAACTTCGTCAAATTCACATGCATCTCAATAGACCAAAAAGGTTAGGTTGTTCTATTTATAAGGCTAGTATCAGTATTGCAGTTTGTTTAAAGCTAAAAATTTTCTAAATATAAAGCATTTGATGCCAACTTTTGGTTTTCTTTAGCAATAACCAATATTCATCAACTAAATGTCTGACACCTTGGCAAAACATATACTTAAAAGTTCTTTAAATTCACAAGCTTTGATGCTTTTTCTATAGATTGATCAAGTGATTTGCTATTGGAAAGTTTGCAGACAAGATGCTTGATGAGTTACTTCTAGCCAGTGCAGTGGTATTTTTAACATATCACATATACAAGTACATGGTCAGGAAAACCGTACACCTTCCAGGACCCAGAGGCTTACCAATCATTGGAAACATCCATAGCTTTATTCAAGATGGAGGCCCAGTTTGGCAAGTTCAAAAATGGGCAAATAAATATGGTGATACATTCAAAATAAGCATTCTTGGTGAAGAAATTGTCATACTGAGTGATTATGATAGTATCTATGAGGCACTGGTAGAAAGATCAAATGATTTTGCTGGAAGGCCTTTCGAAAAATCATATGCATTGAAAAAATTGTTTTCTCATGGCATATTCACACAGGATTTTACTCAAAGGTTTGAAGCAAACAAGAAACTAGGATTACGTGGACTCAAACAGCATGGGGATGGAATCGGTAGAATTGTGAACCTCTCAAATGAAAACATAAGCCAGACAGTAAAGGAGTTTAAAGAAGAAAATGGTCAACCTTTCCAACCTCATGACAAACTTCAAAATCTGTTATGCCGGATCATTATATGTGTGGTAGGTATAACTTAATGAATCTAAATTGTCAGTTGAACAAGATTTTATATCAAAAGAATCATAATAAGACAAAATACAGGGTGGTCCAAAAAAAGTGAACCCCTGCAACGGGCCATATTTCCCTTATTATTTGCAGGAATTCCTTCATATTTTCTCATGTTGTAGAGAAAGGTCTAAAATTTATGTTGGTACCACACATTTTTCTTAGTCTTGAAATTTGCAGAAATTATAAGCCCTAACCAAACATTACTGAAATGGATAAAATGTGATTTTCAATATCCGCGATTCTTCAACCCTTCAACACCCTTCCCCTGACATTTTTTAAGCTGCACTGTTAAAGAACTAATATTTTCTGACTGTGTTCAATTTTAAATCCTGCACATTATGGATTAAAACTAGCATCCTACCTTTGTTAGTTACAAAGTTATTGTGATCCAAAGAAATGTTCTAAGCTTCCATAGACGAAAAATATTTTATGAACGCCCTGTACCCCTATATGATCTTGGAATGTCAATATCTTCATAAATCATGGACCAATTCTAATGAAATATGACTCAAAACATTGAATATTGGATTTTCTTTTGATATTTTAAAGCTTATTGATGAAAGGTTTCTTAGATACCCGGTCAAAAGGGGCAACTTCCTTCCACAATAGCCCCCCTCTAACTGTTTGTGTAAGTAACATACGCCTCAGCTGTTGAGTGGTAAAAACTGCTTCAAAACGATCAATGAACGTGTGAAATGTGTTTTTTGCTTAAAAGTGTCCCTTTTGTCATATGGTAGGGTATTAAGCTTGTATCTCTAACTGAAAGCTGTTGAAAGATCATCCAATGTGTTTCAACTATTTCCGTGAATCACATTGGTAAAATTTTGCACAATATCTTATTTTCAGACATGTTTGTTAACTCTTGTAATTTCTTCAAAATTTAAGACTGCGAATAAATTATGGCATCAACCAAAATTGTAGACCCTTCTCTACAATATGTGATAGTTTGAGCCCATTCATGAAACTATTAAGGAAATTATAGCCTGTTGCAGGGGTCCACTTTTTTTGGACCACCCTGTAATTTGCAGATGGAAATATATTCCAAAGGGAAACTATTTTTCATTATTTCTTCAAAATGAGGCAGTCATTCATAATATATACATTCATATACTACTACACAAGACTGTAAAACTTGTCAAATTCAAATGCCATCGGGACCAGCTAAAAGAGTTTGGATAAGGAGGTTCCACATTTCCAGGCTTAAGCATTCATAATATTCTGCATTTTGATGAAATGTGAACAAATTCTCAATAAATCTTTATGGTACTATATTGACCACACGGTATTCCAATAATTTGAAATAATTATGATTCAAATGAATTCATTAAAAATGTTAAAAAGACATTATGAGTGAGACCATTCAACTGTTCAATGTTTTTCCAAATCTTTGGATATAAAAACCAGAACAACGGCAACGCCAAAGCGTAGCGAATCCCAACAAACAGAAATGGCTGGCATTTTTACAAACGAAATATATAGCAAATATCATGAAATAACACACATAAGAAAGGCCACCATTTTCAAAATGGTTGCTCACTAGCCAAGTTGTCATCAGAAGAAGTAATATGCTTTTTTTAGTATTCACATACCAAATATGCACAAAATCACTTCACTACTTTTCAAGTAAAATACTTTAAAATGGTGGCCATTTTTCAAAATGGCCGCCTCTACCAAAAGTGTCATTAGACAGTGTGCCGTGCTTATAGATATTCACATACCAAATATGAACAAAATCGCTCCACCACTTTTCAAGTTACAGTAAAATATGTTAAAATGGCGGGAAATCAGCAAACAGTACGTCACTGACGAAGGATGTAGTCACATCCGAAAGCTATGAAAAAGTAAAGAAATTTCTCAGGTTAGTTAGAGGAACCTTAAATTATTATTAATGCTATTACAGTTTTACATATTGCAACTAAATTACTGTAAATTTCTACCTCCATAGGGTATATGTGTACAAAATATGAACGAAATCGGGCCGACGGTATTTGAGTAATTGTCTGGACGGACGGACAGCAGACAGACGGACGTACGTACGTACAGACGGACGGACGGAGGCGTTCCCTATATCCCTCCGAACTTCGTTCGATGGGATAATAAAACAGTGAAAATATTTGAGCAATTTTGTATGAAACATGTGATATCTTATGAAAAGTGTTCATATCACACATGTTAAATGTTCAAATATGACTGTTCAGTGTTCAAATCAGGAGGTGTTCACATTTTAAGGTTTCTTTAAAATGGGAGTCAATGAGAGGAAAAAATGGGACTGAAAAAAGTGTTCAAATTGGGATAAGCTCGGATTAACTGGGTGTTCAAATATATACAGGTTTCACTGTATGTTATTTAAACAAATATATAACAGCATTCCTTTGATTGCAATATAGCAATGTATACATTGCTTCTCCTAATTTTCTGCAAGAAAATCCTTTAATTTGATGTTGAATCCATGGTTCATTAGTTGAAGCTTTTCATTACCAATTTCAAATATATCTGAACTTTTCTTTGTGCCTTCACTTCATCATGGAGAAATCTATGATATAAGCTGAATTGGGGGGAAAAAGACAGGGTGATAGGCTAGGCCTAGGTATGTACATTAACCTCTTGACTACCTGGAGTGACGAGATATCTTGTCACCTCAGAAATTACCTTGAAACCAAGGGTGACGGTCAAATCTGTCACAAAATTTTTCACTAAAATTGCTCTTATAACAATTTCCATCCAATTTAAACAAAACTTGTTTTAGAATTTGTAGAAATGATCTCCGCCGTCTGATTTTACTAAGTTGAGCATCTAAAGTTGTATATGAATGTAGTTAAATATCAAAAAGTGGCAAAAATGAAAAATTATCTGGTTTCAACCGATTTTAGAGACTGGGATTCAAGAGGTTAAAGGCACATTAGGCTTCAGAGACAATAAAACTGTTCAACATTTTTTTCATTGCTTAAGAGTTGATGTCATGGTCTAACTCATTTCCACTGATTTACGAGTTTTTATGACTTTTTGAATCTCACGCCATTGTCAGCTGCTACGCCCCCTAACTTGCCCTGGGAGCATATTTTGTTCAGTGTAATTAAAACTCTGTACATGGTCAGTAGTTCGGTCAATTTTTTTTCAATCATTTCTTAATTTTTCTGTCTATAATCGATCAATAAACTAGTTTAGGAACAAAGGAACGTTTCAACTTTAGTTAATTACGATGCCTAGATAGACAATCAATGCCTAGACACCCAGGACTGCAGCCAATATGGGATAGGATAGTAAATATCCCACCCGAAAGTGACATTGAATCAGATGATGAATAGAATCTTGGGGAAGCTTTTTCATCCTCAGAGTCAGAGGACGATTCTGACTCAAATTCAATTTTCTCATGTTTTTCAGGAGTATCTTCAACAGAAAGGACTTAAAACTATACATGAAAGTCCATTCAAAGTAGTCTATTGAACCTTGAAAAGCCATATATACAACAACTTTCAGCTCATCTTTACTTAGTAGAATTTTTTTTATGAATTTGTCTGATATCTGATTGAATATGGTATATATACTTGTGTTGATTGTTTAATTATTACATAATAGATTGGAGATACAATATGTCAAAGTTGTCTGATCATGTCCCAAAAGCAATATTCTGTCTGTCACCAAAAATACTTTGAATTAACAATTTTTTTAAGCTGCTTGGTGAAAATACGCCCTATAAAGAGGATGACGGAGAATTCGCTAGGAAATGGTTAGAGGACTACGATGTGAATTTTAGAGGGCCATTTTTCTATCTTATAGAGATGTTCCCATGGACACGTTACTTTGGCAACCCTGTTTATTCAACATTGAATGAAATGATAAAATGCCGTAATAAAACCTTTACTGAGTGGATTGAAAGGTTCAAACATTATAAACAGGTACAATACTTATGATATAATATGTACAATAAATAAATATGTAAACTATGTGCATTGATATTTTGGTAAAACTTTATCTTTTACTCCATTAATTTCCCAAGTGTTTCATTGCATGTTAAAAAACATGGTGCCCTTTAATGGGTTGGATTCTGGGTGACATTTCAACGTGTGTTATAGGAAAGTGGTGAGAGGACACTCATCGCAGAGTTATTGGCCGCTAAGGAGGAGGGTACAATAACAGATGATGGTATTTTTGGAATCATGACTGATACTTTCGTTGCAGGTATAAATCCTTTTCATAGTTAGACTAGTTCTTTAGTGCATTTTTCCACTCTGCAGACCCTGGATTTGGTTTTAACAGGAATCTTCCAATTTACTATCAATTTAAATAGTTCTTGATTATGTTTCATTAGCTAATAACTTTGATCTATTTTGTGTAACCATAGTACAACTGAAGCAGCTTGATTCAAGAGAAAATTTCAGACCTGCAGAGATGGAACGAGATATGATCACATTGAATTAAATGGTCAAAGAAAAGGAAATATAAGATCTGCAGAGGATGGATGTGTCAATTTAATATTAATCATATACATATACATTGGGTATTTGGTTTTCATTTTAATAAAAACTGGGAAGAAGAATTTTAAGAATTCAACTTAAGATTCTGAAATATCAATAGTTCTTTTTCACTTTTATGATTTGTGGAAAATAGTATATATCAAATGATAAATTCATATTTCATATTTTTACACTTTATAGCGGACCTTTAAAACATACAAAGAAATGTGTATTAGCAGAGCTACAATAATCAATCAAAGTTCTAGAAGTGTCAAAGCCCTATAACCAATTATTTATCAGGAATTTTCACAACACGTACAACCACATCCGGATTCCTACTTGCAATGATGAACTTTCCTGACATTCAAAGTAAGCTCCATGAGGAAATTGGTAACAGGACAACTCATCCCTAAGACAACTCATCCCAAGACAACTCATCCCCAAGACATCTCATCTCAAGACAACTCATCCCAAGACATCTCATCCCAAGACAACTCATCCCAAGACATCTCATCCCAAGACAACTCATCCCAAGACATCTCATCCCAAGACAACTCATCCCACTTTTGAAAGAATGAAAAATATTTAGAGATTTTAGCAGTTAGCACACTACTCATGGAATATTTTTGTTTTTTTATAATATACATTTTTCATGCTGTATTTTAAACTGACACATTTCATATTTTGTCATGCTGTATTTACTTAATATTTTTGTATTTTGTAGTTGGTTTAGCCTAGTTTTAGTAAATTGTTGTCGACTGATTGGGATCAAAGTTAAACATGTTCAAATTAATATATACTTTGATAATTAAATCAAAGATCATCAAAGGTGTAGGATTAACTCAGTTAGAATGTATTATCCAAGGTGCTATCAGAATAATTCTCTCAGATTAATTCAGTCTTTGTTTAAAAATATTTTGGCCTAATCCTAAATAAGATTGCCAATTTCAAACTTTCAGATTTATGATGATTAAATTTGGAAATAATGTCTATGACTTTTATGTTCAATTCTATATTCTCAAATATATTAAGAATAACCCAGAATTAATCAAAATAGCGGTATAAAACATAACTTTCAAGTACCATTTAAAACGCTAAAAGTCAGTATTAAAAATTGAGTGTGTAATCAAAAATCACTTTGTAATCATAAAAATTAAAAAGGGATATATACAGGGTGGTCCAAAAAAAATTGGAACATTTGTTAATTGAACGCAAAACCTTTATTTTTCTTCTAAAATGTACCAAACTTTTACTGAGCATAGTTCAATCACTTATTTATCTGATGTAAAGTTTATAGGTGAAATCCACAAAGTTAATGCATTAAACTAGTCAATGTTTGATAGGACCCCCTTTTCTTAAATATACACTTGTCAATTCCGCGGCTACTTTTTCAAGTATTATTTATTTCAAAGCTTTAATGCACATGTTAATTGCTATAAATATTTTACAAAATCATATTCAGTTGACTAAGTGTATTTACATCTGGGGTTTGCCAGAAAAATATTGTGTTAACTTAAACTTAAACAATACCCAAAATGATCATTTTCATTAAAGAGGAGAAGAAGGAACATGTCAGAGGTGAGCGATTGCATAACCCTCACAGCTACTCAAGTGACAAAAGCATTCTTCCCAATTTTCAGTAAAGGCAAAACTGACCAGTTATTCACATTAAAAACCAACGCTAAGCACATATACAGTGTATAATAAACATATAATATACCATTTGTGTTCTCTCTATGATACTGATAGACATATTGATATTTCCAATGAATATTATTCATATCAGAACAATAAAGGGGAGGGGGATTCATTTACCAGTCAAATCAGACTGCCCTGGCCTCTTTCTTGGGAATATTCAATCAGTAATACACCCAACAATAGCCATCGAAATATGCTTGATACTCATGAATTTGGGTTAAAAAAATGTTGAATATGTTACTAGATTTGATCTTCCAAGGCAAACAAATAGAAAGTTTGATCAAGCTAAATTTTTTAATTAAGATGGCTTTGACAAAACAAACGAACAGCAAACTAATTGAATATTTACAAATCTGAGTCCCAGGCTTCAAATTGTAAGTCAGGAGAAGAGGAGTCATATCAAATATCGACTAGTTTAATGCATTAACTTTGTTGTTTTCACCTATAAACTTTACATCAGATAAATAAGTGACTGAACTATGCTCAGTAAAAGTTTGGTACATTTGAGAAGAAAAATAAAGGTTTTGCGTTCAATTAACAAATGTTCCAATTTTTTTTGGATCACCCTGTATATAATATAGAGGACAAAATAATTTATCAATTATACAAGTGGGATGAGTTGTCTTGGGATGAGATGTCTTGGGATGAGATGTCTTGGGATGAGTTGTCTTTGGATGAGTTGTCTTGGGATGAGATGTCTTGGGATGAGTTGTCTTGGGGATGACTTGTCTTGGGATGAGTTGTCTTGGGGATGACTTGTCTTGGGATGAGTTGTCTTGGGATGAGTTGTCTAGAAACCAGGAAATTGATCATGTGATTGGTAAAGAACAGCTTCCGGAGCTATCAGATCGTGAGAAGATGCCATATATGGAAGCAACAATTCTTGAAACGCTGCGTTACATGTCGATGATCCCAACAATCTTACATAAAACAACTTGTGATACCAATATAGCTGGTTGTGATCTCCCAAAGAATACACAGGTAAATACATTCATGTCTATTTTGATTATTTTTCATATACAGTACATTGTATTGTTCATTTAATTTTGCTTAATTTGTCATCTGCTTTAATCAGGCATTTATGAAAAATTCACCAAACCCTGCCAAAATCTGATTTAATATAAATCTGATTAAGTCTAATACTTGGTCTAAGTTTTATAAAACTTGTATCAGTAATAATTAAGTATGGGCCAATACCACAAAATAATTTACCAACCAAATTTAAATGCAATCTTCTGGCATCTTTTAGTTTGGTAAAACAAGATACACAATAATAAATATCCCACTCTAAAAAGCAAAATGGCTGTAATGTAATTTACAAAGCATGCCAAAACTTATCATGTATAATTTTCTAATTGAACTAATAAGCAGTTTTCCAGGCAGTTGATAATGCAACGACCAAGTAGCAAGCTGTTACTACAGTACAGATGTAAAGTTTGTAAAAACACAACAAGAAATAAGGCATTAACATGACAAAATGTTACAACTTGCCATTTGTGACAGACAACGACTGCAAAAAACAGATGCAAACTGCCAAAAACCATCCACAAAAAGTTGAAGGGGACATCAATACCAAAAAACAGGGATGATTGCGCCAATTTCATTTAATGAATCACAAAACCAAGTTTCTCATATTTTACACAGGGTCATGGTTGGCTGAATCATTTTCCAACCTGATTATAAAGACAAAATGGATAAACTTCCATATGGGGAATTTAAAATTTCATCATTTTCACCAACAAAGGGGTTCATTTGTATCAAAATATTTTACCCAAATGTTAATAGTAACATCTGGTTACTGAAAAGTCACTCATGAGCAAATATATCCAGAAGCTCCAATAATCTAGCAAGAATTCCTCACTTCAGCATCCAGCAATTAGGATGTTATCTGGTGAATTTCATAGTCTTGGTTGCATTGTGTTTATGTGCTAAAGTGCTCAATTACTCAACTAAACTCAATAGAGAAAAAGGTCTAAATAACTGTTGCCTGTAAGCAACTTCAATCAAATACATTGTCTTACAGGTTTGGATGAACTTATATGGCATGCACCATGATAAACGTTACTTCAAACACAACCCAGATTCTTTTGATCCTTCACGATTCCTGGACTCTGATGGCCATCTAGTTCCACATGAGGAAAGAAAAGCGTAAGTCAAATTATAATCTAAATTATGTAGATATCTTGATATGGGCCATGATAAGCATTGCTTCAAACACAACCCAGATTCCTTTGATCCTACAAGATTCCTGGACTCTAATGGCAATCTAGTTCCACATGAAGAAAGAAAAGCGTCAGTTGGATTCTGACCTAAACAATTGAGATTGACCACTGTATAAAGGACGATTCTCGGTTTGGAGAACGAAGTTCATCAATCTAAATGAGCATTATCCCTGCTTCGGACAAATTTGATTTTTTTTACATAATATAGATTTGAATGTCTTCTTTTGAATAGTCATAATTTAATTTGGGTAATATTTCTAGATTTTTCGCAAAAAACTATTAGCGCAGTACACTGATGAACTTCTTTCCCCAAATCGAGACTTGTATTTTATTGAATCGGTCTATTTGAGCATTATCCCTGCTTCAGGATTTAATTGTCCTCTTTTGAATATTCATAGTTTAATTTGGGTAATATTTCTATATTTTTCATGAAATTTTTTTTAGCCCAGGAGGCTGTTCTCCAAACCGAGAATCGTCCTTTCAATTCAATCTGACTATTATTTTTCAATGACAAATGTGTGAAGTGTTTTGTGTCCCATAATTCAAAATCCGAGCAATCATAATAACAATGTCTTTATGTTCAGTAATATTTTGGCATGATTATAAACATTGCTATGTGTGGAAACTTTTAACACATCTTTTTGGGACATTGATATGAAAAATGTTGGCATTAGTGATCACAAATTGTTTTTTCATGCAGAAATACTGTTTTGCCATGTGTGACAAAATGAAATGAATTTTTATTACAGGGTGCTGGCATTTGGAGCAGGTAGGCGTGTCTGTATGGGAGAAGTTCTTGCAAAAACCAGGGTGTTTCTCCTCTTTACACAGCTGTTACAAAACTTTTACTTCGAGCAAGCCGACCCTGAAAATCCTGTCCTGTTTGATATGAGGAAATTTATAGCTGGGCCAGATACTTTAATCGCACCTAAATTTAAGATAGTAGCGAAACCTCGTTAGAAGGGGATCATACCATGATCTATGTACTATAGTGGCAAAGCCTTATTAAATAAGAGTATAACCCGCCCTCGTCATACCATTAAAGTGATCATACACATAAAGTATCATAGCCTCTTGATACTTATGGTATCAAAGGTCTGGTTAGTACCTGTGTAAAAGACTTGTATTAGACCAATAATATAACATTACACTGTATTTCATAAGACTTTGAATGTACCATGTAAGTATAAAAACCACAGCAAATCTTTATTGAAAATGTTAGTGAAGCTTCCAGTGAGGTGCCAAACTTTTTGTTAGCAAAAAGACAAAATTATTGTGAAAGTTGAATTTTGGTATCTGGACTCAAGTAAAAGAATGGCAGAATCACCAAGTGACATGATGCAGATAATTTTGATACTTATAGCAAGTATATGGTTTAAAACCATTGGTTTGGAACCTCATCATTTTTTTACAAGTGTAAGCAAGTAACTTTTTTCTCAGAGTTACAATTGGTTGTAATATAAACTTGAATAAGTACGTTAATTGACAGAACAACTAAATATCAAGAGACCATGTAGTAGAATAGTATATACTTTTATATAGTATCAAACAATGTACAACTATATCCAGCTTCAAATATATCAAATACATATTGAGCACAATATGTAATATGTATAAGTCTAATAAGGATGCATTATACGAGGGGTGATCAATAAGTAATGGACATTTTTTTACACAGATACTTTTTACAGACCAATCCCTTTGATTTTCCTACCAGTGATACATCATTCAATTATCTATCAACTCTGAAGATTTGAAAACAAAACATGTAATATATTTTGATATATCTTTATTTCCGTGAAGGAGGTATGGGTACCCCAGGACCGACATCACGTCACACATTCTGAAGCTATTTTAGCTTGTTTAACATGCAATTCAGTTGAATGCAGGCAGGACAAAACTAACCATGATGGCCATGAAATACACCATTTTGTTATGCCATGGTTGATTTTGTATATTTCATCATCACTGTGTGGTATTCATGCCACATTCATTTTACAGGGCCCTCTACATATGTTCCATCAAGTGCTACAGTGACATGTACACACTTCCTCATCCTCTTAACTCAAGATTTTGAGACACGGCTGAATCCATTCTCTGACATGGTAGCAAGATGCAGTTGCACGGGTTGTTTTATTTCATCAATGTCAATAAACCTGCATCATTTCTCTTTAGAAATAAGTCGTATAGCAATTAATAAATCACATGTGGGTAGATCTGGACAATATGGTGCATTGGCCAAGGGCTCAATTTTAAGGTCGGGGGATATTGTTTTCTGAACATTTTGAGATCTGTTGGCAGGTACATTGTCCATGTGGAGAAGGGTGTTCCCTTCTCTCACCAACCCCTTCTTCCACAATGCTTTTCAAAATTGACCTGCAAACCATGACCATACAACACTCTGACATTACAATACTTACTGTTTATGTGTTACCAGTCAGCAAAATATTTCAAACAACACAACACTTGTTGCATATAAAAAAGTTCAAATCCAACTGAAATTTGCCAAACTGGCTAAAAACTGAATATGTGACGTAAATGTCGGTCCTGGGGTACCTGTACCTCCTTCACGGAAATAAGGATATATCAACATGTATTACATATTTTGTCTTCAAGTCTCCAGAATTGGTAGATAATTGAATGATGTATCACTGGTAGGAAAATCAAAGGGATTGGTCTATAAAAAGTATCTGTGTAAAAAAATGTCCATTACTTATTGATCACCCCTCGTATATTAAAATGTACATGTATACAAAATTCAAAACTTCTGTATGGCACGCTGATTTTACAAGTTTTGTTTTGGGAATATCATCACTGGTGATCCACTCAATTACACTAGTTACCGAAATGGTTCGTTTCAGTATCAAAATGTCGGAATCTAGGTGTGATTTTTCTCTTTTCCTTAATTAGCACGTCATAGGCAGAATTCCCAGAACATTTTATCACAAGCATATGTCAGTATCATAGTTCAGAAGACAACAGAATAGTCGATTTGGGTTAGAAGTGCAGATCTTAACCTTTTTTGAAGTTCTGTTTACATAAAATAAGTGAAGTAATAAAATCAACAATTCTGTTGTCTTCTGAACCATTTTTTGCAAACATGTACATTTTCTTAAATATATTGTAACAAATTATTTTTTTTCCAAAATTTTATGGTCTTAGTATTTGGAGGTTTTCAGCACTTTATCAGCAATCTCCCCGGTTATAGTTGAGCTTACTAGTTATACACATATTTGGGCAATTATTTTTATTCCTACTTGGTCTAACAATTGTGTATGTGAATTGTTTACCATGTTTAACTGGCTACTTCCGGTCATTTCGTATATTTTCAATATAATTAGTGTTTTCGTTTCACGTTTGGGTAGTTGACATTCAGTAACCACCACCAACGTTTTTAGTGCGGCATTTTGAATCGTCCCCTCATATCGTTCCAATACAGGTTAGTTTGCCTTTATTTCTATATAGTTTTGATAGATTAGTATAACTAACGATCTCAAGTTTTGATTGAGTAACTTTGGAATAGAATTAGCGTATACTTTTCGAGATATATAGAGATCAAGTTGAGAATTGCGGCGCTAGGCCATTTTGGAATTAAATTCATGAGGATAACTTTAACTCATTAAAGCTTCTTTATTATGTCATTCTGTGCATAATTGTTGCTATATTTCATGTCTCTGTAATTTAAATTCATTTATATTTCATGTTTGGGAGTAATTTTGGCGTTATTTAGCTTGCAATCGTATGAAGTTGGAATTTGATGTAAACAAGTGGATGACGTCATCGCCGCACCGCTGCTGGGTATATAAGCAGCGAGCTGAGAGCGCTCAGCAGATTACAGCTAGCTTTCGTTCGGGACAGAGCTCCGTTCAATTTCATATTTTTATGTGAAGTTGGACTTAGTCATTTTTCAAGGAAATATTTTTGAACTTTGACAATTTTCAGTAGAAAGTTGTTGGGACTTTGAATATTTCCCGAGGCAGATAGGAGATACATAGCTGCACTTCAGTTCAGTGGATGATAACTTGGACATCTACTTGTGATGAAGGATACCTGAGAGGGAAGACTGCTTCACCGTGATTCTGTAGATGATAACTTGGCCATCTACCCGTGTATTTGTGTAGAGGATACCTCAAGAGGGAATATTCAGTACCGTGTTTGGAGGCAGCATCAAGCCTATACTAGATTTCTGAGCTCTGTCAGTTCAATTTCATGAACACATGAAATTGGACTTTGCGTATTTTTGAGATAGAAATTATTGAACTTAGTCGATATTTGGAGAAACATTATTTTGGACTTTTTTTTTTTTTTTTGAGAATAAATATTGAACTTAGAAAATTTCAATATCAGTATAACTCAACATTAACTGAACTTAGTTATTTTCAAGGGCACATATTTTGACTTGTAATATTTTTGCCTATGTTGTTGTGCGCATGCTATATTTTTAGGTAGGCTGATTACTTAATTGTGAAGGAAGTTTGTGTACTTAGCAGTTGATGCCATATAAGACGTTCGTAAACTTTGTCAAGAGCCGATAGTTTGACTTTGATTATTTCATATAATTAAAGTTGAATTATCCTACAACACAGTGAAGAGGATCCAAGAGATAGCCATTTACAGGGCCGATAGTTTGTCTTTGATTATTTCATATAATTAAAGTTGAATTATCCTACAACACAGTGAAGAGGATCCAAGAGATAGCCATTTACAGAGCCGATAGTTTGACTTTGATTATTTCATATAATTAAAGTTGAATTATCCTACAACACAGTGAGGAGGATCCCGGAGATAGCCATTTACAGAGCCGATAGTTTGACTTTGATTATTTCATATAATTAAAGTTGAATTATCCTACAACACAGTGAGGAGGATCCAAGAGATAGCCATTTACAGAGCCGATAGTTTGACTTTGATTATTTCATATAATTAAAGTTGAATTATCCTACAACACAGTGAGGAGGATCCAAGAGATAGCCATTTACAGAGCCGATAGTTTGACTTTGATTATTTCATATAATTAAAGTTGAATTATCCTACAACACAGTGAAGAGGATCCAAGAGATAGCCATTTACAGAGCCGATAGTTTGACTTTGATTATTTCATATAATTAAAGTTGAATTATCCTACAACACAGTGAAGAGGATCCAAGAGATAGCCATTTACAGAGCCGATAGTTTGACTTTGATTATTTCATATAATTAAAGTTGAATTATCCTACAACACAGTGAGGAGGATCCCGGAGATAGCCATTTACAGAGCCGATAGTTTGACTTTGATTATTTCATATAATTAAAGTTGAATTATCCTACAACACAGTGAAGAGGATCCAAGAGATAGCCATTTACAGAGCCGATAGTTTGACTTTGATTATTTCATATAATTAAAGTTGAATTATCCTACAACACAGTGAGGAGGATCCCGGAGATAGCCATTTACAGAGCCGATAGTTTGACTTTGATTATTTCATATAATTAAAGTTGAATTATCCTACAACACAGTGAGGAGGATCCAAGAGATAGCCATTTACAGAGCCGATAGTTTGACTTTGATTATTTCATATAATTAAAGTTGAATTATCCTACAACACAGTGAGGAGGATCCAAGAGATAGCCATTTACAGAGCCGATAGTTTGACTTTGATTATTTCATATAATTAAAGTTGAATTATCCTACAACACAGTGAAGAGGATCCAAGAGATAGCCATTTACAGAGCCGATAGTTTGACTTTGATTATTTCATATAATTAAAGTTGAATTATCCTACAACACAGTGAAGAGGATCCAAGAGATAGCTATTTACAGAGCCGATAGTTTGACTTTGATTATTTCATATAATTAAAGTTGAATTATCCTACAACACAGTGAAGAGGATCCAAGAGATAGCCATTTACAGAGCCGATAGTTTGACTTTGATTATTTCATATAATTAAAGTTGAATTATCCTACAACACAGTGAGGAGGA